CATGGACAGCATCATCTCTGGTCATAGCTGATTACTACCAAAGATGATATCTAGCCCAGTTGTGAGTTAATTTCTGAAAATTTTTAACTTGCAAAATGATGTCTGACACAAAACCTTAGGAATAACCTGGTAACATGATTTCCATCCACACCGAAGCACATTAATTCACCTCATTATCGCCTCAGTTCAAAACATGCRAGGTCACAAGAATTCTTTTGAATACACCCAACAAAAAGTAGTCTAATAAATACTGCATCAGACAAAATAACTTATTTATTGCTTACATATTTTACCTGCTTTAATTATTATTATTTTTTAAATAAGTCTTCTCTCATTGAGCATTAATAGTTTGAAAGCAGGTTGGAGCAGTTAAAATGGTAGATGAGCCTGAACAAAAACATCTGCTTGTCAGAGAAGCAGGTGGAAGGATCCTAAAAAGTCAAAAGATGCTGAAGCAGAGATGTTATTTACTCGCTGAATGGCCCCCGCTTTCTTTGCATATGAGCAGCACGATGAGTCCTTTCTTAGTGAAGTGTGACACCGCTGCAGTATTTTCAATTACAGCTGCGTGAGACAGGCTCATTTCACTTGCAGGTGACTGAATGACGTGTGCTAAAATCCAAGAAAAATCATTAGGTGGAATAAAAAATGGATTTAAATCAGAACTTGAAGCTGATGTTTTTCCATTAAAAAAAGGAARCATAAACATTGGACACTTTTAGACACAGGGCCCTGTATTAAATGCAAAATAAATACTAATGTTATTATATTCCAATCAGTTTGGAGCATGTATATGACCAAGTTCATGTTAATCCAATAGGCAGTTGTCTTCATACTTTAATCTGGAGTAAAATGTTGAACAGATGGACCAACACTGTCACCCTACTGTCGCAAAACTGCTGTGTTTACTTTCACCCAGCTTACAGTGGGATAAGAAGTAATATAGTAAAATCAAAACAGATGTCAAAGTGGGATTTCAAACTGAACCTGCGCTCATCGAACCCTCTTGGCAAATTTAGAAAAGAACTGCTGCCTCTATATGAATCTCTGTAGGTGCTTTGAACGGAAGTTGAGGCTTAAGTAATGTAGAGTTCCAGTTTTAATAGTAAAGAATAAATACTGTATGTTGAAGGCTTTCTGTCTGAGTGTASTACTGTCTTAATAAAAGTGGAAGTGGAAAAATGAGACATTCAGAAGACAAAAACAGCACTTTACAGTGTCGGGCATGGCCAAAAATAATGGATTCTTTATGTATTTAACACAAACCATCGTCTGAGCTTCTACATGTTTCTAGTCAAAGTAGGTCACAAGGACTTAAACCCAGACATGCAGCTCTGGTATACACACATTTACAGATGGACCGGGACAGGATAGTAAACYTTGAAATGGAAAGTGTGAAAGGAAAAGAGAGGAAACCTAAAGTGGAAGGAGCACTCATGAGGTTTTAACGAAGGATAAAACAAGAAGTCCTGATGCATCTCAGTAATCCAGGTAGAAAAACATCAAAAACAAACAAACAAAATAAGTAGCTCCTCTGGATGGGTTCTTCTTTAGTGAAACGCTTTCGTCTCTTCTCCAAGAGACTTCTTCAGTCTGATGAATTTCAGGTGAACTCAGCCTTATAAGCACTGCCTCCACACCACGTGGAGGCAGAGTGGAGAGACGAAAACGTTTCTCTAAAGAAGAACCCATCCAGAGGAGCTAGTTATTTTTTTTCTTTTTGATAAAACAAGAATCACACTTGCTTACTCACTCCCATAACATTACCTATGTTCCCTGGTATCTGTGAACCGGAACACTCCAATACAATGCCTGCGCTGTGATTCAGTATTTTTTTCATAAGTATGAAACGTCTTTTGAAGGGAGAGCCAAGCATATTTTATGAATTTTATTATTAACCCCATGAGAACATTACTATAGGCGACATACAGGTACTGGGGAACATAAGTACTGGGGAACATACACTCTGAAAAATTAAACGTTGAATTTAATTAACCGAGCCGTCATGTCAACATGTTCCACTCAACTGTGCTGAGTAAATTCTAAGTACTTTACTCATTTGAATATATTGCTTTAAAAATCCATACTGGGGAACATAGGGCTGACCCCATAACTCCTGTCTTTTTTGAGCTGTAATGTTCCAGGCCCCCTGCACCATGGTGACATTATTATTACTTGCCCGAGCATTGTCAACATTTGTCACGTCTTTTAACATTTGTTTTTCAGGCTCTATTTGTTCCCCGTTAGCGCTGGTATCAGAGGGTGTTTTAAAGGGATCCCTGATTAGTTGTAACATTAGACTTTATTTGATAAACATTTATTTTAACTGTAAAATAAAGAC